AAAAAAAAACGTACCTGAAACTCCCATCTGGAAACTACAATAGGAACAGATAGTGTACCTATGGATGGGAATTTGTCCAAAAGAATAGCTTCTTTAGGAAGATGAACTCTCTGCTTTACCCTATAATGGTTATTTTATAATTACTGAAATTGGTTTATCATAGACAATACCTTATATAAGTTCCGATGATTGCTATTGTAATACCTATGAAGACTAGAGATAAGGAGACGAATCGGCATACTCAAAATACGGTCCCAAAAAACGCATGCTAATTGAGCTTCTATACTTAACCGCATGGGCGCTGGTACTGCATCCGTTGTTAAAAATACATGGCTTCTTATGGGAATTATACATAATTTTGTCAAAATAATAAAAATGAACTTGTTTACAGCTAAATAAAGCACAGAACATAATGTTGTATTTATTTCTAAATAAGTCTTGCATGTTCTAATTGATAAATTATTTAATTTTATCTATATAAAATACAAATTAGGTATGTATGACCAAATTCGAAAAGGTTTCTTAATTGCTGAAATTTGATAAGTACAATTTTGTGGCAATTTTTTTTTTGAATTGAACCCATATATATTGTTTTAAGAGTAAAATAAAACACAGTTAACAGATTTTTTTATTGTTGTAATACAAGTATAAAAGGGGATTTGGGAATGTACATGGTATTACCTCATCCTTTAATTTCGGCTTTCCCCTTTTTATTTTGCTAACAGTACCATCAGTAAAAATAGTCTTATAATATTTGATATCTTCTAAAAATTATAGAACAGCATCATCTCTAGCTTTATCGGCACTAGGAACGATATACAGGGTGTTTCTAAATTCATGCGACAAAATTCAGGAGGTGATTGCTCGTATGAAATTAAGATGGGTCTTTCCTATAACAAAATTTCTTCAGCCCACCCCTTTCTGAGATATCACTCTCAAAAGGGGGTGACTAAAATTGAGTTTTTATTTTTTTTTTAAATTTCAGTAAAGCTAGAAACTTGAAATTTTGTAATTTTCGTGCCCTCGCAAAGGACTAACCATATGTAATATTATAGGGGGGTGAAATTATCAACCCTTACTTTATCATAACTTTTTTTCGAGATGAAGTTTTGTGAACTAAAGTAAGGGTTGCTAATTTCACCCCCCTATAATGTAACAGGAATATTAAAAAAATACCCGTGGTTAGTACTTTGCATGCAAAGTATTAACCACGGGTACTTTTTTAATATTCCTGTTACATTATAGGGGGGTGAAATTAGCAACCCTTACTTTAGTTCACAAAACTTCATCTCGAAAAAAAGTTTTGATAAAGTAAGGGTTGATAATTTCACCCCCCTATAATATTACATATGGTTAGTCCTTTGCGAGGGCACGAAAATTACAAAATTTCAAGTTTCTAGCTTTACTGAAATTTAAAAAAAAAATAAAAACTCAATTTTAGTCACCCCCTTTTGAGAGTGATATCTCAGAAAGGGGTGGGCTGAAGAAATTTTGTTATAGGAAAGACCCATCTTAATTTCATACGAGCAATCACCTCCTGAATTTTGTCGCATGAATTTAGAAACAACCTGTATATGCTGCCACCGTTCCTATAAAAAAACATTTACAATGACACAATTGGGGTCAAAAAAAAAAATAACAGTAGCAATTCTTTGTCTAACAATAAAACTCTATAAAAAATAAATTTTCTTTTCTAGTAAGTTAAATTTAATGCATAATTATTGTTGTTTGTAAGTCAGCATCTATAATTGTAACATTTTATATTATAGAAACTTATGATAAAATAAACTACACTTCGTAAGTTACATACTGTGACTAGTTTACAATAAATATTATATTTAGATATGAATACATTATTTTGCTTACATTTAAAGGTTTAAAAAGACATTGAATTAATTTCTTCTTGTGTTTTCTTTAGTTTTACATTTGATTTTTATCCTGTTTTACAATCTGAAACGACGTAAATCTTGCTTTGATGTTTTTTGTCACTCATGTTACTTGTACTCAGGTACTTTTTTCACATTATTATGAATCTTTTCATGAATTTTTTAAAAAATCACTTTATTTTACATTGACTTACATAGAAAATTGACTGCGCTGTCATTAGACGTGCCAACTACAGTCAATTTCGCGAACTTTATAAAAAGAAGGACGGAAATTTGAAATTTGACCATTGCCGATTCGCCTCCTTTTCTCTAGTCTTCATAGTAATAACTTAGAAGAGTTCTGAACATTATGTTATGTTATGATGGGAATGGGGTGTTAATACACTGCGACTTAAAAGATCTATTGTGTCCCCTTCTGTCGCCAATGCACTAAGGAAATGTCTCAATGCCTATAACGGCCCTTCCAATCCTATTTTCTCAAAGAAGTGTAGGATTTGAAGTGGCTTCAAGTTAGGTAAATCTCCCTCTTATATTTGATATCCTTCTAGATATAGTGCCCTTGGTTTCTGGAGTGCTACACATTCAGTTAGGATGTGAATGAAGGTTTCGTCCTCCTTCTCACAGAATTTGCACTCACTAGCCTCTACTATTCTCAGTTTACTTAGGTATCCTTTTAGTCGGCAATGCCCGGTAAGGATATCTGTTACAATACGTAGCCTGTTCTTCCTCAGGCAGATGCATGCTTCCGATCTTTTCTGGTTATATTCACCCTGAAGTATCTTGGCCTGTCTCAGCCCCAAGAGATTGTTCCAATTATCGGTTCTGCTACTGCCCAATTCTTTTTTAATTCTTATAATATTATGTTACTGCTGATACCGCATAACGGCTCAGGTCCTACAAAAGGTGTTTGAGCCCCTTTCCTTGTAAGACTATCTGCAATCTCGTTACCCTGTAATGTCCCGGGACCTAAGTGAGAGTAACTCTATTTTTCTCGACTAGCTCATTCAATTGTTCTAGGCATCTCCAGACCATTTTTGAGCTGATTACGTAAGAGCTCAGCGCTTTGATGGCTGCTTGACTATCGGACATGATGATAATCTCTTGTCTATGATAGTTTCTCTCTATGGTAAACTGGATACACTCCTCGATGGCGTGAATTTCCGCCTGGACGATGCTTGGGTATTTTCCCAAGCTTTCGGAGTGCTTGGTTCTCGGCCCATATTCCAGTTCCTTCTATGGTTTTGGAACCGTCCGTATACCACTGAATAGCACGTCTTTCGGTTGCAAGCGCGATGGATTCTTGGCTCCATTCTTTCTTGCTGACCAGCTCTGTGGTTTTGAAGTTTTTCACAAATTTGTACTTCTTTAGCATTTCATCCTGGGGCATGTGACAGGGGCGGCTCGTGACCAAAATTTTGGGGGTTCACAGTAGCAGAATATAGATCTCGTTACAGATGTAGGTAAAAAATTTTCAGTGTTTTAGAAAGGTATACTATAAACTTTCTAAAACATTGAAAGCTTTTTTCTTACATCTGTACTGATATCTATATTCTCTCACTGTGAATCCCCAAAATTTTGGTTACGAGCCGCCACTGTCAGTGGCGGCTCGTGGGGTGGTTCACAGATACAGAATATAGGTATTAGTACAGATGTAAGAAAAAACTTTCAATGTTTTAGAAAGTTTATAATATACCATTCTAAAACACTGACAGTTTTTTACCTATATATGTACCGGGATCTATATTCTGCTACTGTGAACCCCCAAAATTTTGGTCAGGAGCCGCCCCTGCGCATGTCCCAGGTATCTTTAGTCCCGAAGCAAGTAGACTTTCGTCTGATTACTCCGTTCCTGATCATTCTATATCGTGTCCTTTTTGCCACATTCTCTATCATCAAATGTAGAGGGGTGAGGTTTAAGATCACCTCCATTGTGGCCGTAGGACAGGTTCTCATTGCACCAGTAATGCAAACACAGGCTAGTCTTTGTACTTTTGAGATATTAGCTCTCGTAGTAGCTAAACTAGTTCTGTTACTCCAGGCTATAGCCCCGTAAGTGATGATTGGTCTCACTATTGCAGTATACATCCATCGCAGTATGTTTGGGTTACATCCCCATCGTTTACCTGCAATGTTTCTGCATACCATAAGGGCTTTTGTGGCCTTATTTACTACTTCTCATGTGTGTTTCAGAGAAGTTTGTTGTCCAGGGTTAGGCCTAGATATTTATCTTCATTTTTCCATTCTATATCTATCCCGTCTAATTTAACGGTTTTGAGATTAAGTTTTCTTTTCCTTGGAAAGGATACTAGTGTTGTTTCTGTAGGGTTTATACTAAGTCCGACTTCACGGCACCATCTTTTGGTATGTTCTGGTCCTTGTTGGACTATACCACACAGGATATTACTAAACTTGCCTCTAGCAAATATGACTATGTCGTCGGCATAACCTTGACAGGGTATGCCGAGGTCAGTCAATCTGCATAGAAGTTCGTCTACACTTTAGTGGGGATAGAACTCCTCCTTTTGGACCTCCACTGGTTGTGCAGATGAAGATGGTGTCCTGCCCTATCTGTGTCTCTGCAGTTCTCGTAGATAACAGCAGAGCCATCCATCTGGATGTGATGTTATCTACTCCTCTGTATGCAAGTGCTCTTTTTACTCCTTCTTCGACTATCAGTAGCAAATCGGTGGTTTTATTGCCCTTGTATCCCCAATGAACTGTTATCAAGCTAAGGTTAGTCTATTTTAACTCACCAACTCTGTTAGGTTTTAGAAACAATCACATGTAAGCCTCGGGTTTACCTGCGTAGAACTAATTGCTTAATTGCTTCAACGTAGCTTTGGTCTTTGTAATTACCAATAAAACATCCTCTATTTGTCACTGAATAATAATAAAAATATGTGATAATTTAGATAAGCAACTATATGAACGTACATCGAGAAACGGCAAAACTTTTCGATGAAATCTACCAATATGGAGAAGCCAGGATTGTTTTCGATGCAGATAAAATTCGTATTGATCAAGACAAAGAGGGTATATACCAGGATATAAACGACAAAGATAATTTAAGGACAGAAAAAGTCGACAATCCATTTGAGAGCGTGACATCGATGGTTAAATATTACAAATCGCGAACTTTCGTACCAAGGTTGGTTAACAGGATTTTTACTAATGTACTATAACTATACTCAACTGGGTAATGCGTTAGTTGTAGTCCATAATATCACAGATTTATTCTGAAATCTAAAAAAAACAATTTTTGAACTGTAGAAAAATAAATTTACTGACACTAATTATTAAGAGAAAAAGAAAATTTATAAATTTAAAGAGAAGTTGCTGTTGAAAGAATTAATTTTTAGAGAATTTTTAAATACATTAACTGATAGAGATAAATTTGTTATGTCCACTTAGGTTATTATGGACCAAATGTCCAAGACCAGGAGGTGTAGGAATAGCTCCCTGGGACCCAAGCAAAATCTACGTCGCCGCGACAGATACCAATAACATTCTGGTACTAGACCGTTCGAAATTTAAACTTATTAAAAAAATCAACAATCCAGAAATGTTATGTCCTACGAATTTGGCTTTTTCGAAAAAATACGAAGAAATGTTCGTCACTGATAAATGGAAACATTGCGTTCATGTTTTCTCGTGCGATGGAGACTACATGAAAAATTTCAACGGATTAGGTCTTAAATCTCCTGATGGTATAGCTGTTGGTCCTAATGAAGAAGTTGTTATTTGTGATACAGGAAATAACAGAGTAATAGCGATTGATGCTGAATCCGGAGCTCTGTTGTATACAATAGGTGACTTTGATTATTTTTTCTTGGCTAATAAAAAATGTCATGTAACTTCTATACGAAAAAGCTCACTCTGAGAAATATATGTTTTAGGAAAACGTGAACTCCATATTCCTACAAGTGTAGCCATACACGGAGAAAAAATATTCGTAGCCGATACAGGTAACAACAGAATAAAAATGTTCAACAAAGATGGTTTACTTTTACAAGAAATTGGCGCATTTGGAAGGAACAAGGGAGAATTCCGTTCGGCAGAGGTCGTTGCAGTAGATTGTTTAGGATTTATCTTAGTTGGCGATGCTGGAAATGCCCGAATACAGGTATGAATAGTTAAAAATTCAACTTGACCTGTTTTTCATTATTATGCTAGTTGTAGTTCCACTTAGGCTAATATGTCTTATGTAACAGATATTGCCAACAACTGAATAGAATACAAGATTTTAAACTTCTATTAAAAATCTGAATGTATTTGACTAATCATTTTAATAATCAGTTTTTTTAGTCCTTTTAGTGAATTATTTATTTTTTTTATATACATTTTCAAAGACTCAAGACGCATTTAGTTGATATGCAACGGTATTAAAGTATGAAACGGTAAAGTGCTTTGTGGCCTATTTTAAGAATCGCATTTTATTTTCAGATATTTTTTAAAATAGGCCATAATCGACAAAGACAGGTACAAGTTATGTCACTCACTGATAAATACGCGCTGCTCTGAATTAAATTCACTTATAATAACCCCTAACGCAGCTTATCTTATGACTGTCCCATTTGTTTAATTGTTCGATATCTTGGCCAATTATAGTCCGATTTCGGTGAAATTCACACATACATAAGATTTTACATTCAAGAGTAAGCTCTGTAAGTGGCATTAAAAAAATGTAAATAGTTTGGTCGTTATAGGCAAACAATGAAATTAGGCCCGCGGTACAATTTGCCCTTCCGCCATATGCCCAATTTTTTGATTTCTCTTGCCCCCTTTCTGGGAATCAATAGTCACATCCCTTGAGTTTAAAACTCACATCCCTTAAGTTTAAAACACATTTTTGATTTTTCAAATATCTTAATTTTTACCAAAGTTATGAAGAATTTAGTGTTTGAACATTTAACAAATTCAATTTTTCGACCTTCGCCGCCTCAAAATACTAAACAAATTTCAATTGTCCATACCCAGAGAACGGTGCATCGGATTAAAATTTCTCAAGAGACATAAAAATTAGCATTTTTCCTAAGCTTTCAAATGTCGTAAACTGCGTTTTGAAAATATTGATTTATTTCCGACATGCGCCTGCGCAAAATTGAAAAATTGACAAAATCCAAAATTTTGGCACTTTCGAAAAACAGCTACATTTTGTTTTGCCTTTTTTCGAAAAGATCACCTTAAAATAGGTAAATAGAATCCATTTTGTTTCATCTAATTACAATTTAATGTAAGCTCAAAACCCGTAATTTAATTCGATTATAATGGATTTGGCGACCCTTAAAACTTTTGATGTGGTCACATAACAAACGTTTGGTTAAATCGTCCAGCTTTTTATGCAGTGCACTATGCTTTCCCCGTCTATCTTTGGGAGCTGCACCAGTTCGTTTTGGGTTTTCATTTATATAAATTAGTTTATTTTTGACAAAACGCTTTGGCACACCGGAATATAACGATCGAGAACTTGAGTTCGATACGAATAACTAGCATCATGGATAGTAGCCATAGCCCTCAGAAGGTCTAGATACCGCATCGTAAAAACATTTTGACCCCCCATATGATGGGCGCCATGATAAATAAATGTCAATAAATTTTAAGTTGTCACTACTGACAAGACAGAATCGGCGCAAGTTTAGTAATAAGCGTAAGATCGGCGTTCGACGTATATAATCGATTTTATTATCTGTTGTGTTGTTTATTTTGTTCTTCTAGTAAAGGTTTTATTTAAAACATTATTTTTTAGTTTAGTCGTTTAGTGTTTTATTTTAATAAAAAACATATGTGGTTTGGTGTTAAATTTTTACAGGATTTTTAAAATCTCTTTTTGTTTTGTACGTGAATGTAACAATGCATCTAACGGTAGAAGATACAAGGAAGGAATAACATTTCATGTGTAAGTTTTCACAAATATTTGTGTATTTACAAAATCAAATAATTTGTATGTTTTGTTGTAGCATACCAAAAAATGTTAGGAAAGAATAACTGATAGCCATAGGAAGATCATTGAATCATTTTGTGACTTTAGTATAAGCCCAGAAAATTTGGGGATACTAGCTGTAACGGCAAATGTGTTATTGGCTCCTTGTTAGTGACCTATTGTACAATTTTTCCAACACAAATTCCATGATCCTTTGAACTTGGCTGCACCGTACTGATGAAGACCAATAGTCAGAAAAACGTGTCGACCGTTACTTCTTTTTTATTTTTTTTTATTCGGAAAATGTCCACTATTACAGGAGCGGCTAAATGCTGACCAGCGTGCACATATTATTTTTTGTGTTTTCCGCTAGATGGCGTGTATTTGAGCGCGGTTTTTTAAATTGATAATTTTGACTTGCACACCATACAGTGCGTCAAAAATTGTATTTTATATTATATTTTATTGTTACTAATTCTGGGTTAGACGTGAGTTAATAAATAACCCATTAATTAGGAATTTATTGGTAGATATAAATAAAATAACCAATATAAAATGTATCAGTAGTTCACTCATTTATTTTAAAAAATAAAATCACTACAAATTTGTTAGCAATTTAAATAATAATATTGGGTTTTGATGGTATATTAAAACACTAAATCATTATAGTCAATTTATTAAAATATAGAAATAATAGTTGTGACAATCATTGCCTCTAAAAAATTGAGTTTCATTCTTTATTGTGTATAGAATTGTCTAATAAATATATATTGAGGGTAGGGTGAGTATATGGTGATTAATAAAATGATTTCTACATGTATGTCTCGAGTCTAGAATAAAAATAAGCCTAATTGCTCCTTTTGTGCAATGAATAATACTCTTGTAGCGGCAGGAGAAGGCATGGCCTATAAAGTACTTTATGAAGTATATACAAAAGTTCTACTTTTCGACTGTTTTCTGTCCGAATAACGACGTTCTTTGACACATTCGAATAAAAAAAATTTAAAAATGTACAAACATATTATAAGACCTAAATAACCTATATAACACAATATTAAAAATGTTACAAATGAGGTAAAAATTAAATACAAATTAAAGTTTCAAATAGTATAGCATACATTAGAATAATAAAGTGGTACCATTACGGATCACCGAGTATCACTCACAAATTCTACATAGTATTAATATGTCTTAGACGAAAGATATGCATAAAGTTTATATTTGAATGTATTAAAGATTTTTTCGTTGCTATCAATATGAATATATATTTATTGAAACATTCAATACCTCTATTGATGTCGGAACATAAAAAATAATAATTAGGAAAATAAAAAGTGATAGGTCATAAAAGTACCAATTCTACCTCTCTTACCTTAAATAAAATACATTACAGATTAAGTTAAAAAAGTATTTAACTAGGAAAAGGAACATAATCTATATCAACTAATATTAAAAAAAAATCAAAAACCTTAAATTAGAAATTAAAAATAATTATGATCATTGTCACTACTTTTACTAATAACTAAAGAACTGCTAAGAGTACTTCTAATAATTTCGTTTTTTGTTGAGGTGAAGACCAGCTGTTTTTTAATTGTTTTATTTGGTGGCTCATTAATTTCTGCAGAGGTTACACAAGGAATATCGACTCTGCTAATGCTGTTGTCATAGTTTAAGAGCAAATTAGCATTCTTCAAATATTGAGAAACTTGCCTGAGAACATTTTCATCAGAGAAATTTTCTAATTTGCCCTGCATATCATTGATTTAATTTTTTATTTTATTTTTTAATGTGCCTAAACTTGTTGCCTCTGCTGAAATATTTTGTCCCAAATACTCTAAATGTGTATTTACTTCAGCCTTGTCTTCATCACATTTATTTTGTTTATATTTACCATCAGCTCCTTCAGAATTGTTATCTGGCATATGTAGCAAAATGAAAGGAATATGTTTGCGTATTGTATTTCGTCTTAAATAATCTAAACAGGTGCAGGTAATAACTGATAATGCAGATAAGAAATGGCACTTCAACATTAACAACACAATTCAAATTCAAACTTATTTGTTCACCAATTGACAATATTATCAGCAGTAGCTGCGCCCTCTGACGAAAAGTAAAATAAATAATCTGTGCACGCCGGTCAGCATTTAGCCGCTCCTACTATTACTACCTTGATACAATAATATTAGTTCCGTTCTAAGTAGGTACATATTATAGTTTGTATGTTTTATGCTTTATTTTATTATATGTAATAAATGATAGGAAATATACTTTTATAGTAAATAAATTGATTAAAGCAATATGTAAGAATAAGTTTATCTAAGGATTAAATTGTTAAAGCAATTTTTCATATCCATTGTTTATTAATTTGTTTCATTTATATCTTTCTTATTGAATAAGTTATTTCATATAAATATGCGATACTAAAATGTAATATTTTCTTTTAAATAGGTATATATTATGTTCGTATAAAATATTGTTCAGTTAATAAAAACAGAAATATTTTGTCTTTTATTCAAAAGAAGTTTGTAAATTTTTCAAAATATATTTACCTACCCCAAAAAAAGATTAATAAAACCAGTTAGTCATATACACATTTTCTATATATTTATAGAGGTACTTTTTAAATAACTTTCAATACATTCGAAATCTGTGGTTTTATTAAACTCAATGTAACAAATAATAATAGGTATTCTCAAAAATATTTAAAAATAAAATCGAGATGGGACTCTTGTATAATTTAGTGACTATTCGCCTATGGTTAGTGCACTGCTGTATGTCCCTGGGTTTTCTACATTAGAACAATACTGCTTCTCCACTCTAGCAGTATTTTTTGCATCTCAGATTATATTTATTAAAAAACCAAGGAATTGTTTTGGGCCTATTGCTGGGCCCTTTTCCAACATTCCCAAAGTTTTTTTTTACTTTCTGCTGATTGGATCTCTGATAGCGACAACTCCATTTGTTGTTCCACTAGTTTTTTATCAAATTTTTAAAATAATTCTACATATTTATCTTTTGCAATGACTTTGCTTACCTGCTTCATAATCTCTTCCCTATGCCCCAATTTCTCTTACAGGTGAGATCTTATACTCGCTCTATTAAATCAAATTATCATAGTTTATTTGAAAATGCTTGGTAGCACAGTTTTTATGGCAAAGGTCCATATTTTTATATAATTTTGCTATTATTCATTTTCAAATAAACTATAGGAATAGGAGTAATCTATTAGTTTTTCTAAAAATTCCTTGTTACCGATGTAAGTATATCTTTCCCTAGTTAAAAAATTCGAGTTTTTATTTTCATAATATAATATAAATAAATGACCGGTTAACAATCACATTCTTTTAAATAGTACATTTGACATTGAAGTAGGTATTTTCTCCATATTGCCAAACAGGAACAGATGGTTTACTTGTAATTTGAATTATATTACATAAATCTCACTGAATTTCTCTATAATTCTCATAGCAATATGTACACAAACCACTTATCCAATAATATATAACCATGTAAAAATAACATTTCAAGAACGAGAAATTTTATAAAACCGGTCCTGTCTGAACAGATCTAGGAATATCAAATAGGTTTGTCAAAGTTTTGTTCTTAATTTGAAATTAGAAATTGTGCGTCTCACTCACTTATAACTAATAACAAAGTGCAGATTATCGGTGTTCACGTATTACAGAACACACAAACTAAAAATCAGTGTAGCCAAAACATAAATTTACCTAACATGGCGACAAGCTTGAATGGGGTCATTTTTTTGTATTGACAGTATACGCCAAGCGGTATCTAGACTTTCTGAGGGCTATGATAGTAGCAGGACTCTCGTTTTGACGTGTCCTTCTTTGTTTGACAGGCATCAGCCCAGCTAAATAGGAATTTTGCTCCTCGTGACAGAGCAGAGCATTGAAGTCTCTTAATATTCTTTTCCTTTGATATTCGCTAATCACACCAAAAGATTTTGATCTTAGGCAGTTACGGACTATCCAGTTTCATGGGTCGAAAATTTCAACTGTTTAGAGACCTCTGACATCCGGCCGGTTTTCTTCCTTTTTTTTATTTTATGCTTGATGAACTCGTTCGAATCACTACTTTTTTATTATTAAGAAGATAAAAGTTATTCTTCATAAAAAGTCGAGAATGGTCTAAAACCAAAAATACAACCATCGGATATCAAAGTCATATAGGGGGGTTTGTCAACAATACAAATACTTTATTTTTCAACAAAAATCATATTTTTTGACAAATCTCGTATACAGCTTAAAAAATTGTTATTTGATAGTTGCAGTTTAATTTTTGGACCATGCAGAACTTTTAATCAAGAATAATTATTTTCACAAAACCAATAATAAAAGTTTTCCATAGTGAGACATATTGTATAAATGTCCGCAACAGTTTTGCAGAAACTCAGACACGGCAACTACATTACACCAAATTTCTGAAATGTAAAAACGTTAGGGCAACACCGCGAAGAATCGAAAGCGAAATTTAAGGTTATGTTCATATAAATTAAACCCGAAAAAATTTCAAAGGAAAAAAACATAAAAAAACTGTGTAATTTAATCACGGCTACTAAGTTGGGACGCCAATTGTATTAAATAATAAAACAATTAAGGCGAGTTGTACAAGTCAGTTAAAATGTGTAATCTTAGTTTAAACTGTAAACCTCCTATAATAATCGGTTATTGTTAAACATAGTTTTAAAAATGACATTTGTACATTCAATATCACCAGTTAAAAATTAAACTTCTGCTAGTTAAACTGAGTTTACAGCATTCTTTGTACAACTCGCCCTCGAGAACAATAATTTTAACTCTGAAAATGTCAAGGGCGAATCGAGGAGTATGCGCATTACATTACCTATGTTATTTTAGTTTTTTTTTTATTGGTGTCTGGGTCTGGCTTCTACATCTAAGGTCATTAGTCATGTGTTCTATGTAGGTTATGGATTGTACTAGTAGTCTAATACTTTATAGTGCAGGAGTATTAGTACTCTAATACTCCTACAACCCTACAGACAGGCCTTGTTACTATTTCCTTGCGCCACTTTAGGAACAGCACTGTTAATTAGAACCCAACAGTGAATGGTCGAGTGGGGAATCCTACCAAGGCATCAGAATAATAAATATAACAGATATTCAATAAGGGTTAATTAAATTCTGACTTTCAGGTTTTCCAACCCGATGGCAAGTTAATTAAGATTTTCGGAAGTTCTGAAGGATTTGGATGGATTTCCGGCATACACGTTACTCCAGAGTTGGATATTATTTGTACAGATAGTAGAAAAAGGAGTTTAAGAATATTTTAATCAAATTAAAGTTAAGTTAGTTAGGTTATTTGTTAAAGTGATAATTGTAAGTTTTTTTATAACTGGAATTCGGGGTAATATATTTTATCTTAATTAAGCGATTAGTAATTTAAAGAAATAATAATAAATCTTATATTTGTATTAACCAACTAAATATTTGGCATATACCTATTGGTACAATTTTTGTACAAATATTTATGAGTGTTAATCAGTTTTAATTATTCACATGTAAAACTATATGAAACAGCATATCAACCGTTAAAATTTAATTTCGCGCGCCGTTTCCGATCAGGTTGCCCCAAATTTGTAAAAGCCACGCCTTCCCACCACATACGTCACCGTTTTATAGTACCATGTAGAGATAAGGGAGATAAAGATAGGAAACGCTCATAAGAAGCCAATGCTTTACAACGACCAGCTTTAACGAAGTTAACATCTGACCCACTATGTGGCGCTTTCATCGATATCAAACAATGTAGCGGGAAATTTAAAAATCTGATGTTCTTGTAAATAAATTTAAACAATGTATTTATGATAAATTATTTATTAAAAAGAATACTACACTTACATTCTATTATAGATTAATTATTGTAAATCTATTCTTGACAAATATTTTTTTAATTTTTGATTGTTATTTGTAACATTACATTTCTGTTTTTATTTTCCAAACGAATGGCCAATGGTGTCTTATTTAAAAATTCAATAATGGGAATTCAGACATTTTTCTTCCTATATCAAATCTTTTTTCTAACGTTTTGAAGCCATTTTCTTGTTCTAAAACAATAAATAATACATAAATACCTACTTTGTGATAAATGTTAGTTCCTATTTGTGTTACTTACATGACTAGATCTTACTTTGGTTAATTAAAAAACGCCATATTGAAGTTGTTAAATTTATTCATGTGGCATGTGTTACTAATGCAATACGTTCTCCGACTTATTGTAATATTACGAAATATAATTATTGTCCTCAAATTTCACACAAAAATAGCCACAACCATTTCACTTTGTCCATGTACAGGATAACACAATCATGAACTCAAAATTTAAATTAAGGATTCTTCGATATACATAAAACTGACATTTACATTGACAAAGTGTCTACTGCTGTCCACGTCTACTGCATGTCTCAGTGTTGCCACCATACGATTTAAATCGTATTTATACGATTTTTTAACTCTCTGTACGATTGCATCAGTGAATTCGTACGTAAAAATATGATCTTCACTTTTTTAGTAGGTTTATTTAAATATCTGCAACAACTTCAAAGATTCATTGGGCGTTCGTAATTTCTGAAGGCAGTCATTTTCGTTCTCACTTATCGTGATTTTGACCATGGTCATTTTGTACCAACACAAACTATCACGACATAGATTAGATTTAATTAGGACTATGGGCGGGCCATGTGGCCTTTTCAGATCTATTGTGGATATCCTTTAATCATTGTTTAGAGTACCTTGTATAATGCGGTCTTTTGTAGTAGACTCCATAGACTGGGAAGTAGTTCTCCGGTATAGCTAGTTGCCCTTGGTTTTTCTTCTCCAAGTGTAAGGAATCTCAGTCTTACTAGACCTTCGCAGTAGCACAATACGTGTTCTGCCGTTTCCTCTTCTTCTTGACAGAATCAGCACAAGGCCTCTTCTGTCAGACCGATATTGAACATATGTTTGTTAAGCCTACAATGCCCTGTTAATAGACCTACTAGTATTCTACTACTCCTGAGATTTTTTAAACATCCACTGCTTTGTGCATGTTCTGATAGTTGTTTTTGTTATACCACAGAAGCGTTCTGGGCCAATAAGAGCATTTGATGCTCCTTCTCGGGCTAGTAAATCAGCCTCTTCATTGCCTTTGTGTCCCCTGTGGCCTGGTACCCAGGCTAAGGTTAGTCTGTTTTGACTACCCAGCTCTGTTAGGGCTTCCAAACAGTCCCACACAAGTTTTGAGTGTACCTGCATGGAACTGAGTGCTTTTAACGTCGCTTGACTGTCTGAGTATATGACAATGGTTTTTCCATTTACCTTCTGTCTTAATACTTCTTTTGCGCAGTGATGTATTGCTGCTATTTCTGCCTGGAATACTGTCGCATGTTAGTTATATAAAGACATTTTGTCATATCACATAAATAATAGTGACGTTGTACAGATATCATATTTCATGTAGATAATTCTTGTTAACATTAGATTCATTCTTGCTTTAACCTCTGTCGAGTAAACCACTATTCCGTTGTACAATAAAAATAAAGTTTTGTTTTTAAAAATATGTTTTAATACTAAAATAACTTAACTGGCGCAGTCAGTAGGATAGTTCGCAGTTCGATTTTGTGAAGCCACGGCATCGAGACCGATTCCAATTGAACGTGAGTTTTAACTCTTTGGCAACCAAACCTACCCGGAAACCGCTGGCCCCCTTCAGAAGTTGGTAGCAGAATCACCGCAGGGATAACTACTGGTAAGTACCGAGTTTTCCTATTGCATTATCCTTAGTTTAGTTAAGATAGGTAAATTTTCCTGGTTAGAAGATTTATTCTACTATAGGTTAAGTGAATGAATTTTGAAATAGAAGAATTGATTGCTAATTTTAATAATCTAGTACGAATTAACGAAACTTGCGAAGAAAACAATTTAATAAATAACGAAATGGCTCAAATGCTTACGTTAACCGTAGATCTAATTCAGACTTACGATGGTAATCCATCTGCACTAATGCAGTTTATTGGAGATTGTCAATTTTTAGTAGATTCATATGATAATATTCGCGATGTAGTTTTACATAATTATATTTTTAGAGTGATTCGTTCAAAGTTAGTAGGTAGTGCACGTCAATTAGTTAGTAGGAGAACAGAATTAAATAATTGGAATTTATTAAAGAACGCTCTAGAACAAAGTTTTGGAGACAAGAGATCTTTAGAATGCCTAGAGCAGGATCTGTTAATGGCTAAACCATTAAAACATGAACCTATTCTAGAATTCGCAAAAAGACTACAGGTTTTAAGAAGCCAATTGATCGAAAGAGTAAATAGTTTTTCGGAACAAGAAATGAATGCTAATACTAAAGAAATTTATCGTAGACAATATGACCAAATGTCACTTAGAACTTTAATTAGAAATTTGACAGGACTTTTACAACATACTATTAGAAGTAAAAACCCGATACTATAGAAACCGCTATTGCTCATATTGTTGAGGAAGAAAATTTTTATTATGCTCAAAATAATATTAAAACTCAAAACAATTCTACACAAAACCTAACATACCAAAAACAATTTAATAATCATAATGCAAAAAATCAACATAACGTCAAAACTTATGCAACGCCTAATAATAATTATCAAAACATGGGTTATACAGCTAACCCACAATACTCAACCTTTAATTTACCAGTACCTGAACGAAATTTTCATACAAACCCCCAACATCAAATTCCCCCATCTTTTAATGCAAATCAAAACCAAAATTTTAATCAATTTCCGAGACAACCTATCCAAGTTCAACCACGACAAATTAATAGACAATTCCCAACGAACAGACAAGTATTTGGACCACCTAAAAAAGCATTTGCACCCACAGGAAGAATTCCTCAAAATGACCCTGAACCTATGTCAACAACTTCAAGAAATACTTTTAGAAACAATCAATCACGTAACAATTATTTTAAACCAAATGGTCCCCGAAATTTTAATTCTCAAGAATTACACCAAATTGAAACTAAAGTTAATACAGAAAATAATGTTCAAACTCCAAATAAATCAAATCTATATACTGACAATAATAACCAAGAAAGTTACGACTTGAATGACGTTGCTTCTAATGACGAAAATTTTTGGATACTAGGCCAGAATCAGCTAAACACGTAATAAATGAAATATTTTTAGACATAAATACTTCTGAATTACCTTTTATTAAAATTGAAAATCCTCCGTTAAAACTTTTGGTGGACTCCGGTAGCATGCAATCAATATTAAATCCAGGTATCGCCGAAACGTACTTTCCTGATACTATTTATCATGAAACGACATTTATAAAAACAGTCGTAGGTCAAAAGGAAGCAAAATTTAAAGCCGACATACCGGCATTTACAGAATTAAAATCATCTTCTACAATACCATTCATATTATTCCAATTTCATAATCACTTCGACGGACTTATTGGTCTAAATGTAATAAAAAATCTTAAATTATGCCTAGACTTTGTAAATAATATCTTAAAAAATAAAAATACGCAAATTCCCATATTTTATAATTTAAATAGAAAACGTTTTAATATATCAGTTGATTCCCATGAAATTGCCGCAATCAAAGTTCCTGTAAATTATTATTCCGGAGAAGTTATCGTGCCGGCAATGCAACTTGATACTCTTTATCTTCCAGAAACATTAACAGTTGTAGAACACGGTTTTGCAAAAACCGAGATTTTTAATAACACTGATAAACGCGTAGAAGTAGAGTTGAAAGAACCTTTGCAAGTGATACCTTTAAACAGCTTTCATAAACAAAATTTTGAATTTTATCATGTAGAAGATTTTTTAAATAGTACGGAAGCAAAATGCTTAAACGAGAAAATAGAAAATTTAATTAGAACAGATCATTTAAACGTAGAGGAAAAAAGGGCTATCTTACAACTTTGCAGACAATATAAAGATATTTTTCATAACGAAAAAAATAATTTAACTTTCACAAATGAGATAAAACATGAAATAAAGACAGTTGACGAAACACCGGTACACGCAAAAACTTACAGATATCCATTCGTATATAAACAAGAAGTTAAAAATCAAATTTCAAAAATGCTTGAAAATGGTATTATTAGACCCAGTTCATCACCCTGGAGCAGCCCTATTTGGGTAGTTCCGAAACGTGCTGATGCCAGCAATAAACAAAAATATCGAATAATCGTCGACTATCGACAAGTAAACGATAAAACCTTAGAAGATAGATACCCGCTTCCTAATATATCAGACATATTAGACAAGCTGGGTAGATGTCAGTATTTTAGCACGCTAGATCTAGCATCTGGGTTTCACCAAATTCAGATGCATGAAAATTCAATATCTAAAACTGCTTTTAATGTAGAA